TAAATATAATATTAAATAACATTATACTTATAAGATTATTATTATTCCCGCTCATCTTCTTCAAATTATTTCCATTTCTTTTCCCATGTCCAACATTCCATTCCATCACTCAACAATTCAAGCCTTTTTTTTTTTTTTTTTTATAGTTTTGTTTTTCTTTCTCTTTTTCATTATAAGGAACTCAAAATCTTAGCTTTGTCCAATTAAGGAAATTTTCATTTTCCCCGTCACTTTCAAATTGTAATATTGTATTATTTGATATTAATCTTAACTATCAGTTCTTGCCGTTAAAATTTATTAAATAAAATTTAGAACTAAATTTATAATATTCTAGTAGTACAAGAGAACTAATTAAATTTGAAAAGAACTAGTAAATATTATTAAATACTACTTTTGATTCATGCTCTTTTGAAGGAAAGTTCTATTAATCCATTCAATTAACTTGTTTCAAAATAATTTAGAATCACGATCAAATTTTCATGCTCAAAACTCCTCTTTTCATTAATAGTTGTTTGTAAATATATTTCATGCTCTTGTTTTTATCATACCATTGATAGGCAATACTCTAGTTCAATTATGTTGTATAGAAAGTAGAGTAATGACATGCAAAAAGAGGTAACTAAGAACAAATACGATGAGATTTTATTAATAATGAGGAATGCTTGCAGTTGTACTACTTTATGATACAAGGCAAATCAATGACTTTTTTTTTTTCTTTTTGAACTGGCAATAAACTATTTATTAATTTATTTTATTATATTGTGTACAAAGAAAGGGTACTCAAAATTTTAACAAAAACCTTTTAAGAACACAGTAACTTCCTACTCCTTAATGCTATAACAGCACGTATCCTTTCCCTATTTGCTTTCAAACAAACCACTGAATTTATTAACCAATCCGACACCTAAATGATATCAAACATTCTATTCTCATCAAACTCAATATCTTTAAACTTTTCATTTTTAAAAATCCAAGGAGTCGAGATAACAAACAGACCAAACAATATCCGCACCATTATTTACCTCCTTAGGAATGAAAATATGCCCATGTTGATGAAAGGCATCAGAACAACATCCGACAATGACAAACTCAATCCCCTACCATGAAACATTTTTTTCCAAATTCTAAAAGCCACTTTACAATGTTTGCAGGTGATTAGAATTTTCCTCTGCCTCATCACAAAAAGCACATCTAGCCAAAAACAAAATGATTTCTCAAGTCACAATAAAACACTAAAGAAATACCCAAATTTTTTTATGGAATTTTCAAACTAATGCTCTTACGGTGCAGACACTACTAATTAAAAAACTATGTATTTTAGGCAAAGTATTTCGGTCAAGCAAATAATTTGACCAAAAAACTAATTATTTCGAACATATATATTGACCGAAGTACAGTTTCATCCACTTAAAATCCTTGCAGACGAATAGGTTGCTTAAAATTTAATTCAATCAAAAATTTACACCGAATTATTTGCACGTAAAATGGTGCTAAAATTAATTAGGTCAAAAAATTTGATTGAAATAAAAATTATATTTATTCGGTCAAATTAATTGATTAAATTAAATGTGAAAAAAAATTTAACAATTTTTTTAAATAAAATATTATTAATTTGGTCAATGTCCTTGACCGAACTCTATTTATCATTTTTCTGTATAAATGTTCAATCAAGAGGCTTGATTGAAATAATAGTCTGAATTTGATTTGACGGATCAATTTGTGGGTCTTGCATTTTCGTCTTATTTTGGTCAAGGATTTTGACTAAAATGCGCCCAACCTTATCAATATCCTTCAAAAACCCCTTTTCTCCTTGGGCCCTGTCCTTTGTTTTTGGGCCTTCGCCACCACTAGGCGCAACTGCTTGATCTGGCTAGTCATTGACAGGCGTTTTCTAGGCATTTGACACCAGTGAAGGTATGGTTGGCCAAGATCTAATGTTTTTTTTTCCTTTTTTCCTTTCTTTTTCCTCACTATTTTTCTTCATTTTGTGTAGCCATCCACTCTCAATCACCATCAACACCAGTTGTCTTCAACCTCTTTGTGCCTCAATCTGTTGTTCTATTTAATTAATTATTGTGTATAGTTGATTTTTTTATTATTTTCATTTTTTATTTATATAATTTATATTTATCTAAAAAATTGTACCCTTTTGATATTGTATTATGAATGTGTTTATTCTTCTTCATTTCAATAATTTGCTAGTCATAATTTACCTTCTTATTTGTATTTTTTTACCTTTTCAATTCGTTAATTGTTTCTTTTGTTATTTTCTTGTAGGTCCGTCAATCACTTTCAAAGTATTAATTTGACTTTGATTTGTCTAAATTGCAAGTCTTCATTTTCATAAGTATGTTGTATGATTTTTTGCTTTATTTTTATTTTGAAATATAGTTTAGAAAAAAATTATAATATTAATTATTGATTGATAAATTATAATTATATTGATTAATTTATTGTAAATTATGATTATACTATTTAATTGATTAGCAAATTATGATTATATTAATTAATTGATTGATAAATTATGATTATATTAATTAATTATTCATTGATAAATTACGATTATATTGATTAATTGATTGACTGGTAAATTATGCAAAGTAATGAAAATATATAAAGCTTTCATAAGAAAATACAAATAAACAACATAACTATATAAGTTAATTTATTAACTTATAACAAACAAAATAATATAAATATATAAATATAAAAAAAAATTCTCTTGCCTTATTGTTTGACTCCTTAACCATTGGCTCTTCATTGTATTTAGGTTGTAGACCCATTGCATCAACTACTATTTCATGGTACATTTCATTTCATGTCAGAAAATTCTTTTTCAAAGTTCTTTACTCAATTATTGGATGTCTCTCCATGAACATGCCATGTATAATAATTGTTTATGAACCTATGCTCACATAGATGGATGGAGACAATTTCAGGGTTCCCCCACTTCCAACATTTACATTTAGAATAAGGACACTTGATTTTCGATTTTGCATTCTATTTAGAGAATGCAAATCTAAGAAAAAATTGCACCACATTTTTAAATTCATTAATAACAAAACCCTCATTGCCTATATGACGAACTATCCAACAATGATTCTCCGACATATTTTGTAATACCCCAAAAAATTTCAAGCGTATTAAGTTAAGTTAGGGACTTAATGATGAAGAAACATTATTAATGGACCTAATTGTCAATTTTTCAAACTTCAAAGGGGTTAAATTCTTAATGGATAAGGCCGGCTGACTCACTCCTTTTTTTTTCTTTTTCTTCTTTCTTTCTTTCTCCCCCAGCCATTCTCGCGTCTGCTCTGTTTTTTCTCCCTGCTGCAGCCGAAGTGAACCCAGCCATAACCGAAGCCCCCATCTGCAAATTTGGTAAGAGAACTTGATAATTTTTGTTCCTCTCTTGCCCAAGAACAAGTCTAGGACTTTGAACTTCTCTCTTTTGCAGAAAAGCCGCCGGATCTGCTCTGCTTCTTCCCCCTCTGCCGCCGGCTGCTACTGGTTTTTTTTCCTGGTAAAATCAGCCCAGAAACTCCTCTTTTCAGCCTTGATTTATGTTAGGTCACTCTAATCTTGTTGTTCTTTCAATTGCTAGTGGCCCCGTGAAAGTCCCCCGATTTTTCCCGTCGGCTCTCCCCCATACCGCCAGCTCCAGCCTTGCTTGCTGAGCATTTCTGGTAAGTTGGCTTCTCTAATCTTCGAAAATTAGTGGATTAATGGCGGTTTGTGAGTTAATTGGTTGTGTGGGTGTTTGGGTTGTCCAAAAACAAGATGCCGGAGGTGGGGGATGAGTCTTGGCAATTGGAAAATGGGTTTTGGTTGATGATTGGTGTAGGAGATTAGTGGGTTTGATTGTTGTGTGATATCCGAGAGAAAAAAGGGGAGAATTCCGTGAATTGGCCATATTTTTTCAAGGCCGGTTCTCCCAAATTCCTGTCCATTAGTTTGAGAAATTGTATATCTGTAATTGTGTATACATAGATATTAATTGAGAACATTGTGATTAGGTCCTTGATTGTCCTGAGGCCTTAGCACTGGGATTAGGTCTTCTGTCCTGTGTAATTAAGGTAAGTAAATTTATGGTAATGCCCGTATTGTTTTAAAAGCATATTTTGAATTGTTTTTGAAATGGTGGCGGGACTAAACCGTTTTATGCAAAAGTAAATATGACTGATTTAAAGTGAAGTTTTTATGCTTTTCATTAAATTGATCATGCCTACTTGAAATTTAATTGATTGTCCTAATGATTTGAAAGTGATTGGTGAGTTATGATTTTTCTGTTAACTTTTGCCTGTTTTGTCTCCGATGTGGTTATGTTATTACTGACCCTGCTAGCGGGGGTTAACGCTAGCACATGTCAACATGTTATTGATAGGACCGGTTCGTTTTACTGACCCTGCTAGTGGGGGTTAAACACCAGCAAATACTGACCCTGCTAGTGGGGGTTAAACACCAGCAAATACTGACCCTGCTAGTGGGGGTTAAACACCAGCAAATACTGTAGCTTGCCAGTGGGAGGTTTAAACACTGGCCATGACCTATTGAGGAGACGTCTATTTCTTCCCCATACTGTATCCGTTTTAATTGTACTGTTGGCATGCTATCAGTTTAATTGACTACTACTAAACTTTATTCTGCATAAGGGTTTATCATTGATCATTCCGTTTACGTTTAAACTGTTTATTGGAAATGCTCAAATTTTACTC